GATACGCCATGCTAGTTATAGTGTGAACTATAGGAAGCTTAACCACTAGCTTCTGGGAAGCTTAACCACTAGCTTCTGGAGGAACATCGCTGCCTTCCACAGCTGTGCACATGGTGCATGGAGGCAGCAGGCAGTTACCCTCTTGCACCTCTACCAGTTCAAGCAGCACCCTGCCTCTCACCTCTCATTCTTCTCACCCGGCGGCTTCGCCCCGCCCCGCCCCGGTCCGGGGCAGTCCGATTCCCGTCCTCAGACGTCTCCCCGTCTCCGGCTCTGCGGGTCTCCCCGTCTCAGGCAGGAAGCCCTGCGTCGATGGCCTAGTCCAGAGAGCCCGGAATCCATCGAGCAGCTGCTGCGCCAGGTGACGGCGGATTGGACGAAATTCTTACACGGAGGGGGTCGCAGGTGACGTGCATGGTGTGTGTTTGTGTGTGTTGGGACTGAAAGAGGTGACGTACAATGGTGTTTGAGTCCAATGTTGAACACCTTAAAACTTCTTCAGGTGTTTGGGTGAGCTTTTGCTGCAAGCTCAGGTGAACTTGATCAGTTTGCAAGGGCAACTGACCATGTTGGTCGCCACGTCGGTGGCTTGAGACCAGAATGGTCCGATGTCCTATATAATGTTGGCTGTTTATTCTTCAAATCCCTTCCATATGGAGATGCAAAACGATGCAAAAACTATTCGTGCAGGCGAAGTTTATCAATCAACATGTATATAGATTCATAGATCTTCCCTGTACCCACCCAGAACATTGTCCGATCATCGGTTCCGGGATCATCTTCGATGATTTACACCAGGGTGAGGTACAGCAAGCTCCCAATCATGTCGTCAAGCTGTTTTCGGTCAGGACACACCCTGGACACTGCAAGGTATAGTGACCAATAGCTGGACTGCGAATAGAAAAAACAACATTTACCATTGACCTGGGCGCGCCCTCCCTTCCCCGCTGCACCTCGCCGTTCGTCCAGGAGGAGCTGGAGCTCAGCGAGGTGCCTGAGGCAGAAGGGATCACGGCTCAGTCTTAGGAGCAGTTCTGAATTCTGTGTTGGATATTGAGGGGCAGCATGAGTTCCTCATGCACCATGAGTTCTTGAATATTCTGGTCTTCCATGGTGAGAAGCTAACATGTTAATTTCGAGTAGTGCCAGGCAATTCCTTTGTAACGGGGGTGTGCGACGCCATATGACGCCATACTACATATACTATAAGTACTGCAACAGTAACACATGGTCCAAAGGTGCTAAGGAATCTTGACCCTAAAGCTCCAAATATGGTAACTTGTTTTGTCAAACATTTTGTCTCCTGCTGAGGAGGTAGGGTGCATCCACTTTGCATGACCTGCTGGTAGATCGACACGAGTGTGGCTCAAGGCTCAATCCATCTCAAACCTTGGCAGTCATTTACAGTAATACATGATTTATGCACATATACTGGGGCGCACTTAAAGATGTCAAAATTTCATTCCTGCACTTAATAATAATTGCTGCTGGGACCGCAGCTCGGAAGTACTCAATGATGAATCCAATAAAATCAATAAATAACATTAAAACCCGAATAGAAAAGGTGGGTTAACCTGCCCATGGGACAAGGGTAAAGCAAAGGAGACCCTCATGCAACCAAACCGGAGATCTGTCATGCAGCCAAACGGTCCTGTAGCCGTAAAGTTCACTTCTGGTTGTTAAATGAACAATCGGTCAGGCAGCCAGGCTTGACGCCCCTCTCTCTCCTACTCTCTCCTTTGATAGTGGACCATCTCCCCCAATTCGAACTTAGAATTGAACATAATTAACCTTTTCAAAAAGGTGCATACCGGCACTTAAGGAAATCACCTCAGTAGTGACAGGGCTTGGTATGCCCTCCCCTTAGTGCAGTCGGTAGCGCTACCGACTGCAGTAAGCCTCCATGTGATTTCCTTAAGTGCAGGTGAAAATAATTCAGGGATGCTTAAATCAATGCAAAAACCATGCCCCATTGATTGAGAGCCATGGGCTTACTGAGGTCGGTAGCGCTACCGACCTCCCTAAGGGGGGGGTATGGCATGCCCTCCCCTTACTGCACTGATTTCCTTAAGTGCAGCTTCATTTTGAAAATAAATAGTTTCAATCAGGGTGACCAGCAAGAAAAAACCATGTCATCCGCCGAAAGTCCAAACAGGGGTCAGAGACTTGATTTTCCACATGTTCTAGAGAGTCATATCCTTGCTTGAATGTGTAGACAGAGATTCAATGGCAGCACTGCTGCTGTAATTTTGTACGGATGGTACTAAAGAGCACATGCTTGTTCCATGCCCTACCGAATCACAACGGGTCCTAAAGACAGAAAGCTGTGACTTCACGGGGTGCCCTACGTTTGGGGGGTTCAAGCCAGACATCTCATAGGGATATTTAAACATTTCAAAAATAAGGGAAGTAATTTTTTGACTTTGTTAAGTGCAGGGCAGTATGATATGCATTTTGTTTCTTTTCAGCATGCTGTCCGTGGATTCGCAAGCCGTGTCAAGCCCACCAGACTCTCTTTCGTCTCCAGGCCGACGCCGACTCGGTGTCCGCGGAGCCGGAGGAGCAGCAGCTGGAACCGGAAGAGCCGGAGCTGCCGGTCTCAACGGAGCACGTGCTACCCGCGCTGCCAGCACAGGAGCGCGTCAAGGTGCGGAGTTGATGCGGATGAGGGAGGAGAAAGTGGGATGCAATGGGTGACACGGTATGACTACTATAGATGGGCCTTAGAAGGTGAACCAACCCCCCCAAAAACATGGATGATTATTGGGCGCTTCTCTTCCAAGTATTTTACCATTTCTGGTCGTTGTGTTTGGTCATCCGGCGAGGCCACCTCTGCCTTGACCAGCTCGAGCTCGTCCCGTGCGAAGCGGAATGCCTCTCGCGCGCGGCGGCTGACGATGATGCCCGAGTTTCAGGCGGTCCACATAGCTATCCTGTCAGTGGAATGTCAGAAAGAAACTGGTCTGGAGGAACTCAGCGTCCCACTTCCAGTGGATCACCAAGCTTTTTGTGGGAGGCTGGAGAAGGGTGAAGCTGGTCCTACGAAACTGACGGAGATCTAACCATCCAAGATACACATGACCAGATAGATGGTTTGGGAAGGAGCCAAGGAGCAATATCAGATCACCTATCAGATCACCTTTTCAGGGAACAGCCAAGGAGCTACAGAAGTTCCTAACCACTGAGGGGTATAGCTTGCTTTCGAGTCCTTTGGACGCCAAACACCGGCGGAAGATATCAAGCTTCCAATTTCCAATGGTTTTTTTTGATGGCGGATCCATGCCTCTCCTTGATGGGTCAGTGTCCTTGCAGCCCCCTCCGAAGCTTGGCCAATAGATTCCCCCACTTTCAGGCCCACAGCAGCACCGCTTCAGATCAAGCTCACCCCGGCAAGTGTGCCGTTGATGGAAGGAATCCAATATGCTGCAAGTCACGAAAGGTTTTTGGTTGTTCTCCATCTCACAGTTGGTTTTAAGTTAACTCTTACAAGTCATAAGTCATAAGTATAACTATACTTACCCCCTTCCTTCCCACAGGAGGAGGCTGCTCGCTGCCGCGCGCAGCTGCAGAAGGCCTCACTGAACGTCTCGGCCAAGCACCTCCGAGAGCTTCGCCAGTTGCGGCGGCCCCCCGCGTCAGGCGATGCGTGGGCGCACGCTGTCCATGGGGGGAGGGTCAATCACTGGAAGGAAAATCACTTCCGTCAGGTGTTTCTGATTGGATCTTGCAAGTGTGCTTAAGCGGCCTGGGTCCCTGGGTCCTATTTCCGTTGCCATGTCTTTTGCTCAAGTTGGGTTGGTATGGGTTGGTGTTCCAGCTGCCAGCGGAGGGAAATAGTTTCTTCTCTCAACCAGTTGTTTTCTTCCCGACGATGACAACACCTTGATCTATTACATATCTCAGAAGATCCATGTATATAAGCAAATAGGGCCGACATGACTGGTTTTTGGTGGCTGAGGAGGTCCTATTTGGACCCACCATGGGATCATCGAACGCGTGACTGTCCAACCCTTCCCTTCCAGTTCGGAGCAGCAGCCGCGAAACGGTTGAACCCTTCGGGACACGGGCCCAGTAGCTCTGTCGGCGTCCCAGTAGCTCAGTCGGGCCGACTCGAAGTCGCTGGAAGTAGCTGGGCCCAACCACTGTTTGACGTCAGGTGGCACAGATTCTGGATACTGTGGCTCTACTCCTGGGGGAAAAAATGCGGCAACAAGGCCAGGTAGGGCTTCTCGAGAGGGCCAGGTTTGATCTCACATGTGTGTGCATGTGCAGTGGATCCGTCTTTGAAGTCCATATCGCGGTTGTCCCAGTTAATATTCCACATGAATCCAAACACGTGCTATTCGTTGCTATCCAAACACGTGCTAGCGCAAAGACTGTAGATACCGGCAAACCTGCCAAAGACGGTACCACCTCTGAATGCAACAGCTCGGACGATTCAATTGTCAGAGTGACTTCTCGGGTCACACCCCTTCATCCAACCCAGCTTGGCTTTGTTCAAAAAAATGCCGCTTGTTCAAACATTCAACAGAACCAATTTCACGTAATGTCACGCGCCACACGTTCACACAATGTCATGCAAAGTTCACGCGCTTTGATGTGTCACGGACAACGCATGTTCATGCCTGCCACAGGGTGCACCATGGTGGACCCAGTCTGTTCCAATGCATCCTTCCCAGCCGACGATGTTCCATACACATTCTTTGGCACAAAGTATGTGAATAGCAACATTTCTCACCAAACACGTACATCCTGGATGATTGGCCGGGTATACAGATATACATGACAGTTTGTCAGGGATTGCTAAGGTGGTTCCAATATGTTTCCATAGATTTGATGCATGCTACCTCGAGACATTGTTGGCAGCCATCCGCCTTGTTTGGGATGAACATCTGACCAACATCCTGGCCTTTTTGGGTAGCCCCTTTCAGGGCTACAACTGGCAGAAGATGCTCTCAGACTCCCTGCCGCAGCGTTTGAGCGACTTCGACGTGGCTGCCATGACGGCGCCCCAGCGGCAGAAGGCGCTGGAGGTCTTTGGATCTGAAGCGAACTCACAGGCGCGGCGCTGAGATCCCGAGGTCGACCCTGGGATGGAAATGGCAGACATATCTCAATATGCATGGGTTTGACTGAACATTAACATGGATTTGCTGGGTTTGTTTGGATTGATGTGAAGTACCGTGTTTTGCTTGGTCTCGCTGCGTTCTTCCTGCTCACCATCTTCCGACCGATGTCATGTTTCAATCTGCTTGCATCGGGACTGAGAAGACAACATTTGCGGGTCCTGTGGAAGGGGCGGCTTGACCAAGAGCTGGACTCCCCCAAGAAAGCCTAAGGAACGATCAATGGTCGGGGTTGCTCCCCCCCAATTGCCTCCCCTCTCAAGAACCTTATGATGTTTTTCGCGGGTGAAAATATGTTCAGGAAACTGGTTGCTTGTTCATGCTAAACTGTGGCCATGTTGACAAACTGTGTGAGTTTCTGGTGCGGTGCAAGTGTTCTCAACCGAACATGGTGTACCGAACGTATCTGGGCCAGAAGACCTGGGCAACTAGAAGCAAAGCATAGGACCTAGACCCTGTAAAATGATATATGTGGCGGATGCAATGTTCATGATCATGCGATACCCAAAAGGAAGTGCTTGTAATGTTTAGCTACTGTTTTGGTGTCATGATGTCATGTTTTTTGTTGCACGTTGTGCGTGTCATGTTATCCCGTGATACGGAACAGCACACAATTGTTTCAGGGCCTAGCCCAGTCACACATGTTTGTAACATATATACTGTAATACATATTGCTGCAAGCCAGTGCAGCGGTGCAGTGCAGGTGCATCATTGCTCAAGTCTCGGAAACCGCTACGCCAGGAGGCCATTGCGAAGACTCATCAGCCCTGCATCTCTTTGTTTAGATGGTGTGCTTGCATTGGTGGTTCCGGCCTGTTTGAAGAGTCTTAAGCACCGTGTGTGTGTGTGTGTGCTGTCACACTTTGTCTCCGGGAATCACTCTCCATTCAAGACAATTTAGTTCACGTTCAATTCATTGCACAGAGCAGTGGCACTGAGCACTCCTTGGCAAACTCAGTGCAACGAAGCTATGCCTTCGAGTGAGGTGCACGGTTTGATTGATGCAGAAACAGGTGTCCTGTTCTCCTCGGCCATTTGCAAGGTTTGCTTCCAGGTTTGAGGTCGGCTTGCACAAATCGGGTGATGCAGTATATAACTACTTCTAAACTGTTACTGTGAATGCACTCTTCAACCACCTTCAAATTATTCTTTTACGCGCCCTTTCTCAAATGTGTGCGTGTGCGTGTGGGTGTGTGTTTGTGTGTGTGGAAGTTGAGTTGGAGACGATAAGAGCTCCCAACCCCCAAGCTCTTCAACACCCTCGTGGTGGAGCATGGGGCGACCTCCTTTCTGCCACATGGCACCGGAGGTCTCCACCGAAGTCAACGCTGCGCCCACGTCCGAGGTGCCTTCGTCACCCACACCGAGCGGCTCATCGCTGCGCCGTCGGTGTCCGCGTCCGTGGCGCCGTCGACGGCCGAGCCGGGCACCACGCCGCTGCCGAGTGACCGAGCGGATCGGGTGGAAGAAGCGGCCGCGGCGCCGGGCGAGGCGGAGCCGGGCTTCGTAGTGGAGCCTGAGCTCTCGCAGCTGAGCAGTTCGCAGCTGAAGAGCGTTCAGGAGTTGAAGGCCTCGGGTTTGGTTGGAAGATGGGAAGAAAGCTTTTGCACAAGATGCTGTTGCCGGACTCTGTTTGGAGAGTGTATGGCATGTATCGCTGCCTTACTGATGTGGGGCGGGTTTTCGCTAGACTCCAAGACGTTAGCACTTGGTACGACCCTTTACAACGGAACCTGGGTCAGCCCATTTTTGAAATCATGCGTTGTTGTTTGGTTGTGACGAATGGGGTCACAAGGATGTACATTCTGTAGAGCCTGAAAATGCCTGAAACATGTACTTTTTCCATGTTGTAGAAACATAATCTTGGCAATCTATATTCCCTTGAATGATGAAATCTTAATTTTGTGGAAACATTGATTTGATGGCATCTTAATTGGTAGGAGCATTAATTAATCATCTTCATGTTGAACAGCTCATTTTCTTTAACCCCTCCAAACCCCCCACCCAAAACCCGCCCCTTCCTTCTTTCAGCGCGTGTGTGCTTGCAGCATCATCTTGGAGAAACACTTCCCAAACGAAAGTCTCACGCGAAACCGATGCGAAGTCCTCACGTCCCATCACTTTCATTTGTTCTGGTGTGCACCGGGTCTCGCGACTTGGCACCTAGCATTCAATTCGACCCAAACCCATGCAAACTCATGCAACCTTTGTCGTTTGTTATTCTTGTTCGCGCCCAGTGCCAGAAACTGCCCCATGTGGGGAGCATCATGTAGGGCATCCAGTGCAAGAATTCAAAGCCAGAATTGGCAGACTGTCTTTTGATTTTTCTCATGTCTTTGACACTTTGACGGGTGAAACGAAATTATAACTTTCTCTTCATGAGAATCTTCATTTGAAGTTTGCTTCTGGGCAATCAAGGGGGGTACCCTTTAGAAGCTTTGCCTTGGACATGTTCGTCGAACATCATGTGTTTTGGAAGGTGCCAGGGGAATCATGAGGAATCTGTTCAGCCCGCGACATTCAATTGGTAGTCACTCCAGCGGGGGCCAGTCAGATTGTAGTGAACCATAGGGATTTGTCCAACGCTTAGACCTAAGAAAAGAACATTGCAAGAAACTTAGTTACTACAAAACGTGTTTTTGAGCATTCCAGGTGGAAGAATTCAAAGCCAGAGCTAGGAGACCGTCTTTTGACGGTTTATAGCTCCTGAAAAATGACTGACAAACTGTGTATACTTATACAATTTCATATATATTATATAAATGTGTATTTACTCATATATTAGTTACCTTTTAGTATTTTTGCAAAGCAAGGGGATACCGCTTTGGAAGCTGCCCCCAATGTAGGGCATAGCACTGCTATGCAACTTGTTCTCCCAAGAACTTGGGGTGATGCTTTGCGTGACAGCTTCTGTGTTTCAAGACAGCGACATGCAGTGGTAGCGAAAGACTCGAGACAAGGAGTGGGGGGGGGGTTCGGACACGGCGTTTGATCCCGATCAGGCACGCCGTTCGGTTACTTTGATAGGTCATTTGGTAGGCGGCTGACGCCCAGCACTGGTCCGGACCGGTCAGACCCGGTCAATCCGCCTCCTCAATTCGCCCCTTGACCCTGAGGTGCTGAAGCCGGGAGTGGGGATGGTCGTTTTTCACGGCACCACGGATTGCACGGATCTGGATGTGGCGCGAGATATCGTCTTGAAGCGGGGCTATGTTCTCGTTTATCCAGATCAGTGGCTCGCCTTGAAGGTTCGCCAGGCTGAGGTGATGGCCTTTTCCAAGGTCTGACTTGGTGAGTGTTGGAGGCAGGCAAGGCCAAGTCCATTTCACGGGAGATCCCCGGTATGTTTTTGTTGCAGTATGTTTGGATGTCACTACGCCCATGGGGTGGTTGGCACATGTCCGAAACGGTCTAGACCACATCTTGTTCTGTCTCGAATGATGACTTGGGCCTCCAATTGGCAGTGGGTCCGACAGATGATGGGCAAACTATTGCAGGCTAATCAAAATCAGTGTTGAAAGTCCGGCTATTCCTAGGACAGCTCATATCCCAACAACTTCTTCTGATGGTCGAAACAACGACCATGGTCAGTCTGGTCAGCCTGCTTCAGAGTCTAATCCCCCTAAAGCTGCATCCCTGCTTGGTCGCCAGCTGCGCGCCTTGAAGACGACCCACCTGCGCTCTTCAGGAAGAAGAAACCTCCACCTGGACATGGCCTCAACAAACATGCCACTGTGACGATGTATCAATGCTTCCCACCTGGTGAGCCCTTGCGGGCACTCAGCGAGGAGGCGGTGGCTGAGTATAAAGACAAGATCCGGCGAATGACCGAGGAGAATAGCGCATGCACCTTTATTGACTATGACTGCCAGACAGGTGTTTGGAAATTCGAGGTTGAGCGCTTCTGAATCATTGTGATGATTTTTACCCAAACTCGTCACTAGTTCAACTCGGAGGCCAAGACGTAGCGTTGGTTTGAGTTGTTCGAGGAGCCTCCCAGTTGTAGGAAACGCTCATGCCGTTGAAGAAAGCTGGTTGGAGAAGGTCGCTCAGACACCTTGTTATGGCCAATTCACCGATACAAACGCTTGTCAATAGCGGGTTGAGTAGAATTCCAAGCAGGGCTCCCCCCAAGAACTGCTCGAATTTGTTCCTGCTTCATTATCCTCAATTTGCCCTTGACAAGAAGCTCTCGGTGGGATTCGGACGAAAGTGTCCTCCAGCGGCCGGATATGGAGATCCTTTTAGCCAACGACCGGACCAAACAGTCGGAAAGGCCTCGCGGGACCGTTTCGGATCCAAAGGACGCCCTGCTGGAGTCTGTCCACGCATGTTGGATTTCTTATGATTTTTGAGACATTTGCATTGGAAGAACAGGCATCCGCCGCCCTCCGGCGTCCCACGTAGACACCGTCCCTGTTTGTTCCACTGCGATCGAAACCGAATGCGATCCAAATGCGATCGACCTCAACGGGATACCCACCCTTCGAAGTACACCCTGGCTCTTGGAAGCGTATTGGCTTGGTCTCTTAGCAATTTTTATTGGTCCATGAAGCGTATTGGTCACTTGATGTTTCATTTTTCATTTGGCAGACATCATTAATTCCGCGGTTGAACACCCAGCTGTGGACGTTGAGACACTCTGTGGGCGATCTACACGACCACATGCACTTCGCTTTGGTGTCGAAACGACGAGCGTCCTTGTCCGGCGACGGGTGTGATGCTCGATTCGGAGGCTCAAGGCTCGGAGGAATCGTAGACAGGCCGTAGCGGTAGCGCCGTAGACTACCCAAAAAAATATGGGCATACTATGGCGTAGTTATACAGTCTGAGATGTCTAGGAATGGGCTTTTGTTGCACTAATTGCTGGCAGCCTTCGGTAGATCATGAGCAGGGGCTTGCCAGAGACTGCCAAATCATTTTGCCCAATTGGGGCGTATTTGGGGTCTTGTGTGAAACATCAAGCAGACATCGAACGAAGTGGTGCACTTCACTTGCAGAACTTAGCTGCATTCAGGGATACATCCTCCATGTCATGTAATATACACCTACGACATACTACAACGCTCATCCCCTCCCGGACCGCCACCTGAATGGCGGTTCCATGCCACTACCATGTGGCCATGCCTCCCACACCGGCAGGAGCACCAGGCCGGCAAATCCTGTGCCTTGCCGAGGGCCCCTTGCTCCCCCCGACCGGAGGCCGCTGGTCGCTGACGCCACGGCCCACGCCCACGCTTTCTCCGCGCGGTTCACCGGTGCCACCGCTGCAGTTCACGCCCAGACGTGCCAGCGTCCTTCTTCCGAGCAAGATGGTGTCAACTCAGCCCCTCACTCGGGGTCCCTGGTTTCCACCATCTTCCCCTCCGACACAGCCGGCCGGGTCACCTGTGCCAGCACCTGTGCCAGCACCTGCAGCACCACCTGTGGCAGCACCTGTGGCACCAGCTGTGGCACCACCTGTGGCAGCACCTGTGGCACCACCTGTGGCACCGCCTGTGGCACCTGTGCCGTTGTGTTTGGAACGTGAAGACTCCCTCGCCCAGCAACTGCGACTGCTTTCAGAGGCCAAGTCCATCGCAGCCAACGAGCTGCTGCAGAGCGAGAAGCGCCTGGCCGAGCGAAAAGCGCAGCTCCGGCACGAGACCTTCCGAGCCGTTCAGGCCGCTGCACCGAGACCGGGTGGGAGATGATTTCACCAAAGTGGGGGGGGGACACATTAGGGAATCATGTACTTTTTGACTCCGAAATCATGTCCAAACGTGTCCAAACTTCCGACATGGTGCAGAAGGGAACTGAAGGAATCACATGGTCGATCCAGCGCCTTTGACAATTTTGACATATCATCCATGTTCATTGCAACTGGAGCCTCGTTCATTGCTAATTATTTGGGGATTTGTTGTTGTTGTTGCTGGACCCTCTCGCTGTGGTGCAATGTGCAGCCCTGACAACAGGCAGAACTAGCAAAAGGGTAAGAGCTGGAGTCAGAAAGAACCTGGTACTTTCAGCAAAGTTGTACTTGGTCGGGGTCCCTTACACAACACAACTTACAATACTCACACCCTTAGAGAGTCATGCAAGGCTCATTGAAAGGAGAGGAGCTTTTCCAGTCTCCCCAAGCATCAGCAAGATGGATGCCGCGATGGCTACAGCGATGGACTCATGGACAAGTGTTCGTTCGAAAAGCATCTTCATGCCATTGGTCTCCATTTCTCCATTTTCTTTACATGGAACCTTCTGGCCCAGCGCTCAGGCCAGTGGCTTGAGCGAGGCCCTCAAGCGTTGGCCCGAGCCGAGATCGGAGACGGAGCGACCGGAGACCCCACCGAGACCGGAGACCGAGACCGCGGATGTGGCGGAGCAGACCTGGACCAGACACTTGGGAGGGAAGATGAGGGAGGGAAGTGAACCTTTAGGAAGTTGGAGAGGCTGTTGGAACTGGATAGGCGTACATATGGGGGACATGGGGGCAACCTGTATCTCATGGACACTTGAGTCGCAGAAGTCATGACACCATCGCTCCTGCGATGCCAGATGGCCAGTCTTCCACCCCGTGGTGTGCACAAACCGCTCCTGAGTTCCAATCAGCTGGGTTCGCAACCAAGGCTCCGTTCCCTTGGAGAGCAGCTACGTTCCACCGGAGGAGACTGAGGAACTACCTGCCGTCTCGGCCAGCATCCCGACCATCCCACCAGTGAGGCTCCTGAAAGCCCCCGCCGAGCCGGAGCCCGAGGAGGTCGTCGCTGGTCCAGCGCCCCAAGTGGAAGAGGTACGGGAAAGGCCGGGCAGAAGAGATGCATGGTGGATCTCCCAGTTCGGTCCATCGTTCAGTTTAAAGGTCTTGGGATGTCTTGGGACGTCCATCGTTCGGTTTGAGCGCAAGGGTGCCCATGATCCACTCCCAATTCTAAGAGCCACCCGTGTGGACATGTTCGGACTGCTTATGAAGACTTTTGCATGACAGGTAACTCATAGGTGATGGTACTCATAGCCGCTAGCCCCCAGATGTTTGGCAGCCATCCGACCCTCTAACAAGAAGCTAAGTTGGAGGCCATCGCTCTTAGGTTGGAGGCCATTGCTACTAGTAGCAAAAAGCTATTAGTATAGCATCTAGTAGCAAGGTTCATTGTTCTTCTATGCTGCCATGTGAAGTTTTGCGGGGCCGCAGCGGCACGCCAGGTCGCCGGCACCGCAGCGGCCGCCCCTCCTGAAGGCGTCTTCCAGTCCTCGGAACAGTCGAATCTCTCCGCGGCGACGGGGGATGATCTCTGGATCTTTGCTGGAGGACTCGGGTGAGAGAAATAAAACTCGTGACTCATCACATCTCTCATGACTCTCAGTACATATATATATATAGTATTTATAATTTAACATAAAGCTCGTTCTTTATATATCAAAAGGTCGAGAAAATTACGTTTAAAGAAATACATGAATTGAGATATTTATTCACATTCATTTGGGCAGGTCATGCGTGGATATTGTACTCTTCTTGCCCTGCCTGTTGCATAAGAGCGAATGATTATTTGCCTGGTAATGGAGGTCATTCAACAATTTGAAGCACCGACATGTGCCTGCAAAGGAAGCTCGCCGTTGTAGCAACGCCCTCAACAAGATTGCATCACACGTGTCCAGCAGAAATCTGCGGGAATTGCGGAAGATGCAGCAGCATCCACCGCAGGCGTTGTGCCGAGGGGCCAGCTGAGTGAAGGTGAAGCGAACCTGCCAGCAGATAGATTGGGGGTACTTGAGTAATGTAGTCCAAATGCTGCTTGACAGGCTGTGGGAAGGGCACGAAGGGAACCACATCTTAATCAGAGCACCAGCTTGAGGCCACAACTGGTGAACACACTCCCTCGTATATCCTCGAATCCTCGTACATTCGATTCTCGAATCAAATCCTTCAGTTTGGTGTTCATGTTTTGGTGGTGAGTTGTCCATGTCCCTTTTGGATCCTTTTGGGGATGAGGAATTGTTATGAATTGTTCATTTTCCTTTTCCGGCTCGAGGGGTGCAAGTATGCACCCGGGAGGTATTGAAAATCATTGAAGCTGTGGCCGTCCTGCTGGGAGACACTGATGGTACAGCTGTGCCTTGACATGTCGTTGTGGACACGCCTGCACCGGGGTTTACATAGCGCCCCCGACCCTCCCCTGATTAGGAAAATTGAAGAGTTGTTTGTGTTTTTGTTCCTTGCTTTTGGGTGATGTATAGGGGGAAAGAATGCCCGCTTATTAGGTCAGATTCTTGGCATTTGTGAGTGCGAGGTGAACGTGCAAGAAGTGCTCACAGACTCCCTTCCTCAGAAGCTTGCCAGCTTTGATCCTGGGAGCATCACTGCATCACAACGATCGAAGGTCAAGAGCCTGCTGAAATTGCCAGATGTTCAACCAGATGCTGTTGCGTGCCGGCCTGATAAAGGCTAACTTTGTGTGTATTTTCATGTTCCCCTTTAGGCGTGCAATTCCCAAATAGTAATTTTAGGAATGAACCGCTATCAGACTGATTGAGGCCAGCATTTGCCATCACTGCGCTTCATTGTCCCAGTGGTGTGAGTGTGTCATGGCCTTCCTTCGAGCAGACCTGGCAGAGGAGGAGGCCAGATCAGCTGCTCGAAGGTCCGCCAGGAGGTCGGAAAAGCAGGACCGGTCTTGGGGCGAGGCGGGCTGTTTGTGCTAGTTGGATTCTTTTGGGCATGAGTGGGTATCTTCAATTTAAGGCACCCCACTGGGGTGATTCTGCCAGTGCCACAGTGAAAACCATATTAGCATCGATTCTTCTTCTCGGGGTGGCATTCAGGCAAAGTTACAGGTGTTAAGACCCCTTTGATGTGTGTTCGCCAGGTGTTCGCCTTCCAATCCCCTATATAATCGTTAAATGGCACTAAACCATCAAATGTTCTGCGCTCGCCACCGGCTTGAGGACAAGAAGCCACCGGAACCAAACACTGCAGAGAAGACCGAACCGAACAGTGAGCCACTTGGCGTTTGGTCGTGCACGACCCGTTGCGGTCCGGCACGACGGTGCCGAATGGGTGCCGCCACATGCGCATAATAACCTCACATCCAGCACTACAGGGAGGTGACCTAAACCGATGTGGGTATATGTGGGTTAAGTCTCAGATCTCAACAAACACTGTGGAAGTCTGCAGACGGAGTCGATCTAAGAGGTGTTTCTTTTTGTTCTTTTAATTCGTCGTGTTTAGTCCCAGGCATATGAGAGTCGGAAGCCGGGCCCAACACATTGAAAGGGATTTGAAGTTCATATAAAAATGTAGTTAAAAAATGCATATGAATGTCATTATATGATGAGTTAAGATACATAAATATAATCAGTCCTTTATTACATCATATAAATACATATACATAACGTTATGTGATGTTAGCTGTGCTGGGGGGGAACTTTGGTTGGTCCTAGCACCGCATCCAGGTCTCAGACACAGGTGACCCTACACGCACAGGTGTCTCGCGTGCCAGCCACCGTGCATGCCATTTTAACAGATCCAAGTTGCCGGACTGTAGACCACTGGTTGACACATGCAGACATGATGCCCTGGCCTGGTGTGTTCATTGTGGTTCCGAGATTTTGCTGGCCTGGTGTGTTCATTGTGGTTCCGAGATTTTGGCACGTGTTCACTCACAAGAGTCTGGAGAAGATGAAGACTCTTCGCACACATCCAAGTCATCCAAGTCTTCGGAAAATCAGACTCATCGCTCAGGCCCCAACTGGTCACGTTTCCGGACTTGTCCCAGCTGAGCGCTGCTGAATTGAAAGCGGTTCGAGAGCTGACGGAGTCTTGGAAGGAGAAACCGGACAGGGAAGGGGAAAGAAGTAGCCTCTATAGCATCCTTCCCCTATAGCAATCCAAGTGCCTTCTCAGAAGGTACTTGCCCTGCAAACCCACATAACAGTGTCTCCAATCACCTTCTGAGAAGGCACTTGGATTCCCTAGGAGTAGGGTTCCTAATCAGTCCTCAGGTAGCTGGGGCGTCCTTGACCGGTGGGCCAATTCCCGGTGAACCACGGCCCTGGGGCCCAGAGCGGCCAACATGGGAGCCTGACCGAGTCTTGAGGGACTGTCACTGTGACCTGGAGTTAGAGAAACGAAGCAGCGCAAATGGCAAATGATGGATGCAAGATATCATGATCATTGGTCCATATTGGTGTTTTAATCGTGCATGATCCGTAGAAGATGCATGATCATGATGGAATTGGCCTCCAAGGTGGTCAGATCATGCAAGAAACCAGACTACAAGAAACCTATAAAGAACATTAAAGAAACTCATCAGCTCCTTCCCATTCACTTCCGTCCGAGCCGGCCCCGGCTCCTTTCGCTCGTTGCGCTCGTTTCAGGTGTCGCGCCCCGACGTGGGCTCGGTGATCTTCCATGGGCTGACCGACTGCAGCGACCTGCAGGCGAACGGGGTCTGTTCGACCCACCGAGGCGTTGGTCCGTTCGAGCCACCGGTGGCCCGGCTGTTGGGGAAAAGCCGTACAAGCTGTTGAAGGTCTCTACACGGAAGCCCGTGGGTGCCCACAAAGCACCTCCAGGCTTTTGTAGTTTGAAGTTGCCAGAATGAAAGAATCAGCATCGTCATTCGTCAGCTGCTGGTCCTTGTTATGTGCTAGGCCCCAGTTGAACCCACACGACTCACTTCATCAATCACGAACTCGCCAGTATAGCTAGATAGGACAAGGGTCAAACGTGTAGGCTTTGCCTGGCAGGTGGGTCATGCCTTACTCTATCTTATTCTCAGAGGTACAACTGTACGGTACAACCCACTTGCCATTTTTGATCATTTTTGTATAATGACCACTACTGAACGGACCATTCAGGAAGTTTAGGATTATTTATCCAGTTGGTAGGTGAAAAAAACAATCAAAACCCTATTTACACCGGCGATGTGGGATCATCACCGCACCGGCCAGGTCGAAAGGGATATTGTGCTGCAGAAGGGCTTCATTTTGGTCTACCCGGACCCCGTGAAGAAGCCTAGACGATTTGGATGGTGTGTGTGTGTGTGTGATCTGTGTGTTTCTTGAATGAGGATGGTGGGGTATGGGTTTTAGATGGTTTTGGTTGAGGAGCTTATTCTTTTATCATGGGTAGTCCATGGGAAACATTGTGTCAACTGCTTCATGTGTTCGGGAATCGGGCCACCTGCTTGTAGATTTATAGACGTTGGGCCCCTCCTTTTTACCTGTAACAGTCGTTCAACAACTATGACCCTATTAGAGCAAGGTCTTGTTTAACCATCATCATTCACTGCTACAGGGAATAGAAGACAGAAGAAAGCCAATACCCAGACGCTCCATGTCTGCCATATATGCCTACATTGGGGTGGTGCCAGGGGGGTCAATGTAGGCATATATATGATATGATAGACATCGGTCGTGTTTGGGATATAGACATGTAGAAAGGACCTTTCTACTTGTTGGATGCGTTTTTCCTTCCAGACACCAAGAGAGAGAGAGAGAGAGATGGAGACTTGGGCCACGAAGCAAAGTGACGCGAGACAGTGTAGTTCGATACACCAAATGCTGGGGATTGAAATGCAGTGGGGCAAACCCGATGTATTATCGAAGTTGTTTTGGGTGTCCGGTGCTTTGATTGTAACAATCGAAGGATCCCTGAAGGAGTTGTCCACGTCCGTTGTTGATTTGCCCCTCGTTGTCATACCTTTTCTCCTCCTAGAGGCGCTATATATTCTGTATTGTATAACTTTATTGAAGTCAAAACTATGTACCATCTACATCCATCTACTATACATCATAATATCCATATATTTACCTTAAACAAGCTTAACATAAGGATGTGAATCTTTTGGAGTTGCGAACGTGTCCGCTAGGAAGCCGCAGCCGGGATGTGGCTTGAACAAGCCCGCCACGGTGACCATGTACAACTGCTTTCCGCCGGGCGAGCTGTTGATGGAGGATCCCTTGGCTCCTTGGGTGTGAAGAGCGGGTCCGCGGAGCGTCCTTTGGTGACTCAGGTGGTTGAACTGCCAGGGGGGTAATATGAGATCTCTTTCTTGATGGCCCAACCTCTACGCTGGGTTTGGGATCTCCCTAATTAGGCCTTAAGGGTGTGTGTGTGTGTGTTCTTGGCATTTAAACATACTTTAAACACCAATGCCATTCCCACATCGAACAGCAACAGCTGTTCTGCCAGATCTTCCCGTCTCAGCTCTTCTCATCGGTAGGGTTAGGGTCGACCCCAAGGTGTCCCCCCCAGAGACTGGCTCCGAATGGCTCGGGAATGGCATGAATGGCATGACCGAGTTTCTGCTGGTTGTCTTCAGCCAGCCCGACCCGTGATCGCCGGAACGGCGATGGCCGTGCCGTGCTGGGGGGGGGTGCGTTCTGTTCGAGGTCCGAGAGGATTACAAGGAGAAGATCCGGCTCATGACGGAGGAGAACAGGACATGCAAATTTCTGGACTATGACTGCCAAAGGGGCATTTGGCAGTTTGAGGTGAATCGATTTTGAGGTGAATGCGGCCAACCAAAATCAAAGTTCCGCCCGATCGGGCGCCAAAGTTCCGCCCCATCGGCACAGTGCTTGCTGGGCTAGGGTTCTTCGCTCTTTGAACATGTGTACTCTTAGATGCTAACTTTTCTTCCATCCCATATACTTCATAAGTCCCATCGTCACTCTGAATTGTCAAATAGTCCGCATTTGCCACCATCCTTCCCTCTCACTCAACTTCCTCGCCAGGCCACCACCACCCCAGAAAGAAATGAAAGATATGCAAGTATTGCAGAATGTATGAAGTCACCCTTCCAGCTACATTTGCTGATCACGTTGCCAATGACACGATATCATCCCAGCATCAGATTGGGACCTCCGCGTCGCAGATGTCGCGTACCAAAAAGGACGTCGAAGAGTCGAAGAGTCGACTTGGTGTTCTCCAACCTGCAACGATTGGTGTTCTGTTTGGGTGCATGAAGCTGTGTGAGAGTGCGTTTCGCATCCAGCTCGGAGAAAGCACACTGATTGAACGATCAAGCTGATTCCATCCAAGATTCTAGAACCATACTTTCCACTGGGAAAGATAGATCGTCACTCTTCCGGCAGTTGCAAAAATCAGTTGACCATAGAAACCCAGTGGAGTTCCGACCTACCAAGGACTTTTCGGCTCTCGGAAACAAATCTCGGTTGTTTGTTGGGCTGTTATTGTATGTCAAATATACTGTATAGTATTCCGGTGTTTTGGGGAAGGTCTAGCTGAAAAAATCTGCTTGTACAGCTGTTGCTTTGGTGCTGCATATTGCTGCATAGATGGACCTGTTCGACCTATTCAGCTGATCTGTGTCAAGAAAAGATCGCTCACTCTTGTTTGCTTTGGCAGCTTCGTGGTGAGATAAACAGCTTCCTTCGACCGCAGGGTTGGTCTTTCCTCAAGGAGATGCGGACTGCAGCTTGCACGTTGGTGCTTTCATGTGAAAGTGTAGGCGATTGCCTGGGCCCATCATAAAACTGACGACACTTTTGACTCCCACCCGACCTCAAATTCAGGGAAGTCCTATTACTTGTATGTCTACTGCCTCTCCAAAATATTAAGAGCCAACGAAGAGGCGCCATATTGACGTAACAAACCGGTGGTGTGGGCACACTCACTCCCTCGATGGGGTCGCCCATCCCCATGGAGCCCTTGCGCTCGTTGAGTCCACCACGATTGGTCGTGCCGCAGCTGCCACATGCGCCGATGGTGTCCGAAGCGTGGTTGGCCAGTGGGGATGGGTGACTAGTGCAGGCTCTTGATGAGTTATATATATATATATATATTAGATAAGATATAACATATAGTTAAATGATTATATGATCAACAAGACAGTCAGATGGCCAGTACAGGCTTAAAACAGAGGGGAGGGGGCCACCGCAAGGTGCTGTCATAGGTGCCATCTCCCGTTTTTTCACTGGATGAACTTGCTGCTTTTGGTGAACCCCTGTGTGCTGGTTGCTCCAAACAACTCGCAACGTGGGAGTTCCCGCTTTGGTTCTCTCGTTGTCTTTCCTCACGGGTTTGCTGGTGATACCTGAGCGTTCACAGTGACACTCTCAGACCGCCCAATGGGGCGGATCTGCGGATTTGGAGTGGGATGGGTAGAAGAGGTTTTACAATATGTCTTATTTTATAGTCACTTAGTCAAGTGCTGTTATCCCGACCCCATCGTCCCTAAAAGGCCACTGGATCAATATCCGCCCCGGTTTGGGGACCAATTCGTGAGAAAGTACCACAGACCAACGGGATGAACACACCTGAAAGCTGTCCCCTGCCGCACGCACGGAGAACTGCCGGAAGGGGGGGTTCCCCCGACAACGATCCCATGATCAAGCCACTCAAGCGGTGAGTTTTGGAAGATGAAGACGTGTTTGTGCAAGCAAGGTGGAAATGTGGGTTGCTATGGGATGGGTATGGGCACCTGATTTTTGAAGATTTCTTACGGTCATGAGCTGTGGACTGCCAAGCATACAGCACGGTGCAACAACGAAGAAACTTAAGACGCATGGCCTACCAGGCTGGAAAATCAAGGTTGAACACACACTGAAAAGCAGCGATTGATTCATGAGTCTTTTGAGTGTTGCAATGACTGTCGCCATATGCCCGCTATTTATCGGATGGAAACCATTGTGAATCCAGATTTGGCCCTTACCTAAGGACATCTTCCCCCAGCGACTGGACGTGTCTCCTCGTCGCATTCCAGAGCTCCACCGCTCCATGGAGGTCCTTCCTCCAGGCTCCCCCGTCTCGCGGCACCGCGCCCTGCACGTGCTGGGCTCGCCCCCAGTGGGTGGCGCCTTCATGTCGCCTGTCCGCTTGGCACCGGGGCACTGCTCCGTAGGGCCGATGCGTCCGCCTGAGGCCCACCGGCAGGTCGTGGAGATCAGACCCAGACCTTTGCAACAAGTGTTGCGAGAAGTGCCCCAAGGGCCAATCTTAGCAAACCCATCTCAGTTGACCAATCCACAGCAGCTTCCAACATACCGAGAAGCTCAAAGTGTTCAGAGAAGCCAGATGAGGCCTTTGGTGCCTTGCGACACTTCTGGACGTGCCTACCACGCACCTGTGGCAGCGTTGCCACCGCGTATGGTGCCAGTGCTCCAGTTTCAGCCTGCACACCCAGCACCACTTGCACCAGCACCTCCAGCAGCAGTTGTGCCTCAACGAGCTTCACCACAAGCACCAGATCCTCGTTGCCTGTTGACACCGGCAACCACCCACCGCCAACCTGCGGGCGGTCTGAGCGTTCTGAGCCCCGCGGGCGGTTCGGGAGATCTACAGGTCCGGGTCCAGGAAAGCCCAAGGACGTTCAGTCCACCAAGAGCTCTCAGTCCACCAGCCCTGCCAGTGGCCCTGCCAGTGGCTTCCAGTTCGCCTAGCCCACAGGCGAGTCCCAGAGCGCCCTCGCGAGCTTGCAGCTTGGCGTGCACAAGATAGGTTTGATGTGGCACCAAGGGAGCGCAAGGGAGCGTGAGATGGAAAAGCACCATATCATGTGTTGGTGTGTGTGTGTTGTATACATATGCGTCCACTTGAAGGGTGATGGAAATTCTGCACCGATTGCAGCTCGTTGGCCGTGCCGGAGCCCGCGAAGGTGGTCTGGAGTCTGTTGAACCCTTGCTAGCTGGTCAGTCAGACCCTTGGTCGCTTTTTGGAGGTCAAAGGCTTGTCACAACTGGTGCCGCAAAACGGGGTGGTGGCATAACCAACCATGACTTTGATCAAGTCTTTGATAATCCCCAGACACTCCATGTATGCCATATATGCCTACATTGGGATGGTTTGAGGGGTCAATGTAGGTATATATGGCATACATGGAGTGTTTGGGATCTTTGTTTAATTTTTTGGGGAAAGGTTTCACAAATGTTTCCAATATACATATCACATGCGGGCGTCACCTGGGAGGAACCGATGAAAAAGGACGGCATACAAAGGATTGTTCTGAACTTGGAGTCGAAAAGGATCCTCAGATATATTCAGCTACCCTCAGATCATGATAGTTTCACCTGAAATGAACCCAGAATGATAAATAAATACATGACGAGTTTCACATGTTTCACCACCCCATGAGAACCGGCCTGATCCGTCGGTATTTGCCCAGGTGAGGATTCCTTGGCGAAGCAGCTCCGTGCCTTGCAGGAGGCCAAGGTGGCGGCAGCCGAGACGGTGGCGCAGAGCCACTGGGCTTTGAAGGGGCCGCGGAGTCGGCAGGATGCTCCGCGTCTCCCGGAGCCGGCTGCAGGTTTGGGTGTGGGAGAGTGGGTCAGCTTTTGGGTCTGTCAGAATCGGCGACTGAAGAAGTTGAGGTGAGAAGAGGAGTAAGTACAGCGACTTCAGAGTGGATTGAAGTATCACAAATCCCAAGAGGTAAGGTAGACACATCCTTTTTCCCTTCCCATCCCGCATCTACAGCAGTGGAAGAACTGAGCGCTCAAGAGTTGCAAGAAGTAGAAATAAGAGCCACTCCCCTGCAGATATATAAATTGGAACCCCAAAACCACTGGGTTGTAGAGGAAATGGTCTTCCACCGGTCAATTCTCAGGTCCCATGTTAGTTTGTGGGAGGGTACTAGTTACTAGCCGTTACGAAAAAGCTGAGGTGAACAGGCCCTCCTGGTGCGACGAGGGCAACTGAAGCGAGAAACCTTCAAAGCGCTGCAGCGCCTCGCCGCGGGAAACTTTCTTTTTCTTCTCTCCGGCGGTCGGAAAACTCATTTGACCTCACAATGTGGCTTGCAAACTTTCAAGGCACTCTGGTACACTGGTCAAACTCCAGTTCATCATTCATAGCTCCAGATTCCGACGTTCTGGCTGCCTTGAACCAGTGGTATTTTTTTGTTTCGGCCGTCCCCAGCACCGTCGTCCTTAGGTGTGGCAGTCTCGCAGAGGCCCTGCGGCGCTGGCCCTCGCCCGACGCCGCGCCCGCCATGCCGCCGGAGACGGCGCTGGTGCCCACGCCGGCCCCCGAGCTGGCGAGCGGGCGTGTGGAGCTTCCGGAGGTGGGGTGAGAAGGAAACAGGTGGGATGCAGGAGGGGTTGCAATTGGGATGTGAATTTTCAGGGGGAAGACCAATGGAAAAGCAATGAACAACTACCTGGGGTGGGTGCCCATATGACATGACCAGGAGATCACAGAAGTTTACTTCTTGATTTGTGGGGCCCCGTGCATGCTACTACCTTGCTGTGACCAAAACTAGTAGCCATCGATACGGCTGAAAAGTACCCAGCTGCCCCGGCCTTGAATCCAGGAGGACCAATGCGCGGAGGAGGACTTCGAACTGCCCAACTCCTCATCACCGGTGGAGCTGACTCCTCCCCTAGCTCCGCCTGAGGTGTCCACGGAGGTGAGGGAAGCTGCTGGGGCATAAGAGTGGTTTTTTTCGTCCCAAAGAGATAGAACAGTAGATCACCACTAAACAATGTATTGGAAACCGTGCCACTCTCTATTTGATGACCACTATAATCTATCATAATCTATCAACCCT